TATTTTTGTAACCTAGGAAAGGTGGCTGAATAGAATAATCACATGAAGGTTGCTAATGAATGATAATACTTGGGACAAGAACAACACATATAAGATTAGCCAGTGGCATGTAGAAGTAGTAGTCAATTGCTAGAAATGAGCCAAGTGAATTCCACAATGAATCTTCAACTGCAGATCAACATACAGTATTTACTACTGTATTTATGTGAATGTGGACGTACCCATTATTGTCCTTGGTATGCTACAACAGTCTCAAAATTATTGAAACCACTTAGAATTTGAGAAGTGGAAGGATATAAAAGAAGATCTGACCATACTGACAAAAACTGTTTGATGTGTAGGGATACAGAAAACGTTTATCTCTTGTTGGTGGAGATAAGTCACATAGGTCATATGACAGCTGCTTAATGACATCACTTCATACAGTGATGAAAGTGGCCAGTCATTTGGGAATATATCTTCCCTAGATATAGAAAGATACCCTGGCTCGCAGTTCTCGATTTGGGAAAACCCAAGATTTGCAGTTTCCCCTTCATGGAATATATCCTAGCCTAGGACATAGTAGATGAATCCGGCTAGCTTGAATCTGGAGTCCTATACCTGGCTTCTCCAGAAACACAGAAGAATCTCCATATTATATGTATGACCTTTCTTTTTCTTTCTCCTTACACTCTGCTTGCTGTGTAGATGTTATACTTTTCTCTACATGTTATATGTGTATATAGTTTTCTGTATGTCTTACTAGTATAAAAGTCTCTCTGAGAACAGAGCATGTTTGTCATTTCTTTTTATTTTCAGTTATTCTGTTCAGTCCATGAAATATGGTGTTATTGTATCACGGATATAATAATTCCCCTAATGGGGGAAATATAAATGGGAGAATAAACATTTCTTCCATAGCTCTCCCATTATAGATATATTTTAAGGGTGATGATTTTTTGCTTTAAATAATGGATGACATTCAGTTGCTGAATATGATGCTTTAAATCAAAGAAAAAAGAATAAAAAATAATCTTGATAAAACTAGGTACATATTACTACAGGTTAACTTTGCTCTTCTACCTGTTAATGTTAATCTGGCCAAGGATTGAACTCTTCATTCTTGGTCGACAAATATTGCTGAATTACCCTGTCCCATCTTCTAAGTATAAATTAGCTCACCTTTTTCATAAAAGCTTCTAATAATTTATTCAGAGAGGTGAAAAATCTGTTTGCATCTGGAATTAATGCTGGGTAATTTCAGAGGTTTCACCCTACTTATCAACACTATAACAACTGCAACTGAAAGAATTTATCTAACCTTAATAAAAAAATTTGTTATGACTTAAGACAGACAAAAAAAAAAATCAACTGCATTTAAAAACAAATGAAAAAATGACATTCATCATCATTCATGTGATTCCATTTTTATAACAGTACTTAATTTTAAAAAAAGTTTGGGAAATAATAGATATCTGGTATATAGTAATTTTCTATTTTTTCCCAAAATGGGCCAGAACAGCCAGGCAAGGGTGCTACAAAATTGCACAAATGAAAGTGTAAATATATTACTATACAAATATCAATACTCTTCTGCTGTATGTTATGTTTCAAATACAAGCTCTGGGATTGTAGCCATTTTCAGGCATTATTTTGAATTAAGCCTCAAAATTATTGAAACTTGATGTAATGGAATAACATGTCACCCCCATGAGTGACTATACTATAGGTAGTAACAACCTCTAAGTATCTGTAAATCAATGGACTACAGAGTCTAGCTGCAACCTGTTCCAGCTAAACAGTTGAACTCTCCGCCTTTGGGCAGAGAGGAACCCGGACGAGTTTATACAGGTTCAAAAGGGAATATTTTTGGCCAAGCCTACGGGCTTAAAGAACCCATGTTAAACCGGCCTTGTGCCACTTGCAACCCTCATGGGGGGGTAGCTAAATATACTAGCTGGGATCTGTTCCAGCTAAACAGTCGAACTCTCTGCCTTCGGGCAGAGAGGAACCCAGATGAGGCTCCACCGAAGGACAGAGTCTCGTTTGTGAAGGTGGACTGCCCCTGAACCCATTTGTACAGGTTCGAAAGGGAATATTTTTGGCCAAGCTTACAGGCTCAGAGAACCCATGTTAAACTGAACTTGTGCCACATGCAACCCTTGTGGGTGGGGACAGTTAATATATATACTAGCTGGGATCTGTTGAGTATGACTCAGACTTACGCGAGAACTACCGACCTTGCAATAGTAACACTCACTACTGGATTGACCTTGTGCATAACTATTAATTTTATTCTTATTGTACTGGTTTTTTACAATAAACCTTTACTTATTTTATCCATGGGCAAGGAACAAAGATGGTTATCATCTTTGTTCCTGACCCATCGAGATGCTTCCACATTGAAACAAAAATGCATCTTTGTCATAAGTAATTGTTTTGTCCATATGTAACAATATATATATATATATATATATATATGTTGGGCATGTTTCTAAAAATAAATATGCTAAAAATCCAC